GTCAAGTGTATGTTTAATCTAAATATATAATGTACTACCTCAATGACGTATTGCATGAAAAAAATATATATAAGTGTGACTCCCGCTGTTTCTCTCGGCTTCACCAATAAACTAATCAAAAAGTAAAAATTTAATATATAATATCTCTAAAAGCTTTTAAATTTACTAGTTAAAAATTACTTTCTTCGAAAAAAAAAAAATGACTAAAGCAAAAAAAGTTTCTACTCGAAGAGTGACTGTACCTGGTGGTGAAATTGTTGATAGAAGACCCCTTACCGCTTTCAATCGATCATCTACATTTCCTTATTCTCAATCCGATCGTAATAAAACAAATGTTACAAGCGATAAATATCATCATTGCTCTAAATGCACAAACGGGGATGATAATGTTAATTGCTTAAGTGCTAGAATCAATCGACTAGAAAAATTAATCCAGGGTCTTAATATAGCTGTTAGTCCCAATCCGAAGCCTAATAATTCTTCCAATTTGGTTCCTTCCGCAAAATCCCCGATTTTTTTCCATAAAGCTATTGATTTTTCAAAAATGGAGACTAATGAATTGGTCTCGTTTTCTACACAATTGGGGTCTTTGCTGTTTGGTAATCGAAATGCTAATAACCATAGACCGAACGTTATGAGTATTAGTAATATCATTGCTCATTAAGCAGTTACCAAAAAAAAACAAGAACATTTATATATATTATAACAAAAACTCTTAAAAATACCGTAAAAAAAACCTCACTTAAAGATATAAAAAAAAACACAAAACTCTTTTAAAAAAGCATTTATATATACAATAACAAAATAACAAAATTAAGGTTGTTCCGTAAAAAATATGTCGATTTCTAGGAAAAAAAAAAGCAACCGTAATCTTTAAAAATCTCGAATTTCTACTGATGAAAGTGCACTCACATATGTTGAGAATTGTGCCAATTACCGAACTAAGATGACATTTATAAGCATCTAAAAAATGTAAATAGCATGTATGATTCACGGTTGGAAACTCAAACATTTTATAAGAACATTATGCATTTAGGATGTATTCTTATATCTCTTCCGTACCATATACACTTAATTCTCATACTACTTTCTAGAATATTTAAAAAAAAAAAAAACAATAAATAAATAAAATTCGACATAGTTATAAAAATACTGTAATTTAAATAAAATTTCGAACATTTTTTTTTCTGATCCGTTAACAAAAAATTAATTCTAAAATCTTGTAAAAATTTGCGATTCATTTTTAAAACAGCCAGCAATGTCATTGTTAAATTGACCAATCAAATAATAAACCGAAAATTTTAAAAATATTAAATGAAAAATATTTAATCTTAACTCTAACATGGTTTTAAATTCTAAATTATATACAGTAAAACCTCGATGTAATCAGTAACAAATTCAATGTGACTATGGTAATGTCTATACAGTGGTTAATTTTTTTATGCTTTATAATGATTGGATAAAATGAAGGTAGAATTTTTTTTTATAATTTGACTATGCCAAGAATGGATATATCGAGGTCTGACTGTATAAGTTTGCTATTTGAGTGCTACAAAGCGAAAACCCGTAACTGATCAGTTACAGGTTTTTGCTCTGCAGCGCTCATTTATTGTGGCAGATTAAAATGAAATCAGATTAAAATGAAATGAAAGATAGTGTAAAATAGACAAGCCACCGAAAAAT